AATGTGTAAAATCAAAAGTAAAGTATTTGAATAATTTAAGTAATGAATTTACATGTACACTAGGGGTAAGACAAGGTGAATGTCTGTCACCATTTCTTTTTTCTATGTTCTTAAACGACTTAGAAGATACATTTTTAAAAAGTGGTGTTGAAGGAATAGATGTAAATATGTTTAAAGTTTTCCTGTTATTATATGCGGACGATATCGTAATTTTTGCAAACTCAGCAGAAGAACTTCAACACAATATATGTCTCTTGTATGATTATTGCAATACATGGAAGTTAAAAGTCAATGTATCTAAAACGAAAGTTATAATTTTTAAAAGAGGTGGTAGACTTCCAAGTGATCTTCAGTTTTATTATGATGGTAATTTGATTGAAATTGTTAATACATTTACATATCTTGGTATTGTATTTACTTGTGGTGGATCAGTTACAAAAGCACAAACAATGTTAGCTGGACAAGCACAAAAAGCTATTTTTAAACTAAATAAATATTTATATAAATTTACGTATATTAAACCAAGGCATAAACTAAATCTTTTTGATACATTAATTACACCTATATTAAACTACGGTAGTGAAATAATGGGTTTTACGGTTAGCCAAACAATGGAACGGGTACACTTACAATTTTGTAAAAAGATTTTGGGAGTTAAAAAAACTACACAAAATGATTTTATTTATGGAGAACTTGGTAGAATATCATTTCATTGTAGACATCTTTTCAATATTGTAAAATTTTGGATGAAAATATTGTGTAGTAATGAAAACAAATATGTTAGTAGAGTTTTATAAATTGTTGAAAAGTGATTTTGAAAATAACCCAAATATAGTAAACTGGTTTTCGAAATTAAAAACAACTTTTATGTTCTTTAGGATTTTATGATGTCTGGTTACAGCAGAGTGTAGGAGATATTGATATGTTTCTAGCAATTTTAAAACAACGTTTAAAGGACAATTTTGTTCAAAACTGGCATGAAAGATTACATAACTCTAGTAGAGCTTTATTTTATAGGACAATAGCAAATTTTGAGTTTCAATCATATCTAGATATTTTTAATGCAAACAAATTGTGCCAGGCTATGGTAAGATTACGAGTTTCCTCTCATAGGCTACAAATAGAGGCTGGACGTTGGTCCAGACCTACAAGAACTCCAGTTAATGAACGAAAATGTTTAATTTGTAATGTTTTAGAGGATGAATATCATTTTATATTAGAATGTTCAATGTATACTGAATTAAGGAAACAATTTATTCATAAGAAATACTGGAAACATCCAAATATGGTAAAATTTATTGAATTGTTAAACAATGAAAATGATACAAATAGAAAGAAACTAGGAATTTTTGTATATAAATCTTTTGAAAAGAGAAATGAAATGCTATACGGTTCAGTTGAATAATGACTTATTTTTGTTGTAAAGCTACTTATATGCATAGTTGTAAAATGTGAATTTAAAACATCGTTCTAGATAAAAAAAAAGACATGTAGAAATTTGATATTTAATGCAATTTTCATGTTACAAGCTTAAATTTAATCCATGATTCCCGTCTTGCATTTTGTTTCGGTAAGGCTGGTAGTTAAAATGGATGTAATTTGTATGTTCTTGTTATACTATATATATAAATATTGTTATTTTTGTACAGTAAATTCTCTCTATTAAGACCACTAACGGGCCTGACTCAAAGTGGTCTTAATAGTGAACTGGTCTTAATAGTGAATAAGTCACTTTAACAGCTGACGAAGTCCAACTTAACTTAATGTATACCTTGTATAGTTTTATGCACATGGTAAATGTACTTAATTAAATGAGTAAAAAGAAACACATTTTTTTAAACAAAAAACATTTTTAATGCATGATAATAATTATGATACATCATTAATATGATGAAAATATTAATTTACGACTTCCCCTTTAGAAGAAAAATATGAGGAATGATTGACTCTCATTATTATTTATACATTAATTACATATAGAAATAAAGCACACATAAACTGATAATTTGGTGTAATTAGCAATTTTACCATAATTGCTATGAATTGTGATGCACAACAAACAATTTTACATGTTATTTACTTGGTTATCACATCCTAATTATGCTGACAAATTAATTGTTTCTCGCACCATAGCTGCTTAGATTAATTAGCCAGAAGTGGTTTAAACTGATCATGTTGACGCTTGATACATCGTAAAGCAAGCGTCTAATCAATTGATATATATTAATGACCTCATTTGACCCGGTGTATTTGTTTACGCCAGAGGGAAGATTACGACAATTAATTGGGGGCAATTAACACCAAGTGATGTCTGGCCATTATGTTGCATGGTCGTAATACAGGTTAATGTTTTGATAAGAAATACACAAAAATGTCTGACAGAAGTGGTCGTTATGCCGGATTAGAGACGTGGTCGGTATACTGGTCATTTTTCTCAATGAATAAAGAAGGCAAATATTTTGTACTTTTAAAAAGTGCCCGTAATAGCGGCGTGGTCCTATTTGTGGCGTGGTCGTTAGGTGGCATTTTACTGTACTAAATTCATGCAAGGGTCATCTTTCTTTTTACGAGAAAGATAACATATTACTACATGTATCTCAATGTATATATATATACAAATTCTGATTGTAATTTAAGGAGAAAATAATGTTTTTCAGATTACTAGTCTTAACAAATTTATACTAAAGTCATACTTTAAATGATATGAAATGAAATTATTAAGAATATTAAGCTTTCTTATGTCATGCTTGACCTTCTCCAATGTAAAGTCTATGTAAATCTAATATTAATTTTGTTCGCTGTATTATGCACATAAATCATGCTCACTTTGTATTGTACATGTATATATGTATGCTTGTATTGCCATCATGGGCGAATAGCCTTATGGAATAAATGAAATAAACTAAAACTAACTAACCATTTGTTTGATTAGGGCATTCTACTTTAGATTTGGACAGACACAATTAAAGGAATCTTAACAATTTAACATTTTTTATTTCATCAAAATGTTTTAAAGATTTGCCGTCACCCATTTTCATGTATGAGTTATTGTAAAACGTTGATAAAAGAGAATTATTGGAATTGTTGCGCACGTGGAGTCAATTTCCGAGGTCACGCGCAGTGGAAAATCTGCCCGCATGTTTCCTTGACGGGTTCTGTGATTGTTCTTTCTCTAATCATACCTGACATTCAATCAGGCGCTCATTACAGATCAATGCAACAAACTGTAGACTGGTTTTGATAGAAATGCCCGTAAAGCGTGTGCAAAATGCGTGTTTCAAGGCGCTAGGGTGTCAGACTCGGTCAAAGTGCCCGTAAAAATAATTGGTATTGACATGATGTACCAGATGTTAATACAACTTTGTGCAGCCCAGGGGTGTGTGCAATACTGGAAAATACCCAGAAAATGTAACATTTACTTTAAGTAAATAAATCTGTAAATATTTAATTTCCGTTTATTCAGGATCATTGGTAAAGGTACTTTTTCTACACGTATTAATATCACTCACCAAAACTTCTGTCCATTTCGATGATTTTTTTAAAAACAAAGTCAATACCTCTTTTCCAGTTGGATTTACAAAATATTTTTGAAAAAAAACGTACTTGCAACTCATTCTCACTTTAAATGAAAAGGCTAGGACAATTTAATTCAGAAAACCGTGAATTAAAAAAATATAGATAGATAAAATAAAACATGTACTAGAGACAATGACACAGATAAATGTTCTTTTTTTCACAAACGATTTCCTTATATGTAAACCCTACTAATTAGTGAATGAAGATCAAAATAATGCATACGTTTCCACAATATTTAATGTAATACATGTATACATCTTATTTATTTTTTAAATGTTTTAGTGGCTACTTTTGTAAAAAAAATCAAAATAATAACAACAAAACCGATGTAAAATCGATGATAATATATATAAATCTTATATAAGATTGGGGCAATTCAATGTTGCAAATATTTTATATGATAGTAACGATACCCCAACACCTGATGTAAGTCAAGGTCGCCGTCGCATGAATTGTTGTCTACATACGCGTTCACTATACGCGCATATGTTTTACTTGATGTATTTATTCGTGGCGTTAATGTCTTACTGAAGATCATGTTATCTTGTAAGAAACTATAATGTAAATTAATCAGCAAAATGGGACAAATTATATATAATAAACACCGTATGGGAAGCAATATTTATATACCACAAATGTCAGAATCCTAGCAGACGATAATAGTGCTCACTAATTCAGTTAATCTTTCCAGCGTCCATTTGCCAATAAAAGTCTTTTTGTGTAAATTTTGACTGATTGCGGCTCCGCAGTTTCGCATTAAGTACAATTTAGACCGTTAATTTTCATTCAAAACAATTAAATTATTAAAATTGGAAAAAAGAGTGCACTTTAAACATTGCCGTATGTACGTTGAAAATAAAAGCCTGCGACTTATCGTCTGCTATTTGAAGATTTAGAGTAACGCAGTAATTCATGCCGTTTGTCAACGTCTTTTTCTTGTACGTTTGGGAATTTGAACTATTACTTCATCACAGAGTTATCTTATTAATCAATTTATATAAAATCCTCTTTGGACCTATAAAGAGTTGCGTAATCTGGCTGATAAATGACTGTATATATAAAGATCTGGCTTAAGATATTTAAAACAACGGTGTATGGCACGAAAAACCTAATTAAATTTGCATATAAGGAAATTCCAATTAAAATGTATCCATATTGAATCGCGCGGTAAACTGGAAATGATACTTCAAAATTATTTTCTATTTGTAATACGACGGTTTCTAATTGCCGCAATTACACGGTGACATGTCTTACGCAATATTTTTTAAGTTGAAGCAAACGCGACATGAATTTTAGATCTCGTGTTTACGAAATGAGATCTCGTTTAAATGGCAATTTAGCAGTCATTATAGCAATTTGAAATTATCGTTAATTGTATCTTTTATTCATTTTTATGTCTATAAATAGCATTTGTATGCTTTCAGGTATGGTTCCAAAACAGACGATCCAAGGAACGCAGAATGAAGCAACTTAGCGCGCTTGGTGCCAGACGACATTTTTTTAGAAATCCACGGCGCATGCGCGGTCTTAGAGGTGACTTAGACGACGGTGATATGATGGGTCAAGGATACGGGTATTTTAATGGTAAGCATTTTTTCTTTGGCATATTTTTCGAATACAAGAAGTAGAAAAATAATCAAAGACGTAATATTTCATCATTCTTTCATTACAAAATTTTAATGCTTGTCATAACAAATTTCGAAACCAAAAACAACACAACTTAAGAAAAAAGAAAACACTATTATTATTCATATACATGGGGACAAAAAGGAATAAAAAAGTCATTTTGAAATATCTACAAAGTGCTATAATACCATTTTTTTCGCACAATCATTAAAAATATTTGCATACGATCAAACATTATTATTAATAGCAGACGACACCCAAAGTTCGGCGAGACTGGGGGCTTCTTTCAGTAGACCACACAAACGAAACCCCACTTCAAAAAGAACTGGTGTGTAAATTCTTATCAAATGCCTAGTTAACCATTGAATTGTACAAAACATCATTTAAAACACATTAAAGCATTCTCTATCGTATATTTAAATTATCAATTCTCTATCGAATCGTATCATTTTTCATACTGGGCGGCTGTCAAAATTTCTTTTGATGCAAACATCATTGTCTTATCGGTCGATCTTTGTTTTGAAAGATTGAAATAGGGTTCATTAGCATTCTTGCTTCCCATTTTTTTCACTCATGTTCTTTTCGAGGTTTTTTTTCTGTGAGAAAGACCCCGTCTGTGTTTAATTTTTTGGTTTCGTCTTGTTTTGAAATGGAGGAACACGTATTGAATAATGTTAAATGATGCATTTTAAACACTCGGGCAATTAAAGGATACTTTCAACGACAAGATGAATGAGTGTATTTATAATGAAACGAATATACACATTTTTAAGTAACAAAATCAAAATCAAATTTATTAACAATTAGAAATATGGAAACTAAAACAAATGCAAAAAAAAAATAAAATGAAAAAACGTACAACCGTGCTCTGACACCAGGCACGTGTTGCCAATGCAACGAGGCGAACTTTTAACCCTTATAATTCTCAAGAACTTCTATATCGACCTAATATGATATAAAATGTCTATAAAATGAACTTCAACCTATATATAACAGCTTTCCTTTATACATGTTAAGAAATATATGATAATTGGATATGATAAAATGGGGTAAGATAGGATGGTATTTAATAAAAAGGGCTATGATAAAATGATTTATGATAGAATAGGATGGAATATATTAAAAGGGCTATGATTAAAATATGTTATGATAGCATGGGATATTATAAAATGGGCTATGAGAGGTTGGTGTATGTTAAAAAAAGGCTATGATACAAAAAGTTATGATAGCATGGGATATGATAAGATATAAACGTTATTAGGTAAAAAAGGTTAAGACAGAATATGGTAACATATTTTTACCATCACGAATACATAAATGGTATATAATTTTTGAAGTTCAAAATGTGCCCGTCTTTTGTCTAACATTTCTTAGTATATGTCAAATATGTAGAGTATGTGCGTTAATTATTTTTCTAAAACCGTTTTTTTTTGAAACTCTATTCCTTCATTTTTACTATTACAGTGAGGAAATTAAGTAAACCCCCTGAGACTTGCGTGCTATCTTACAGTTAGCCAAAGGCCGGAATGGCTAGCCGTAATTATCTAGCGAAATAACTCACGATCTTCTGCGAAATTCTCTGGCGTTTTCAATTTCCAGAAAATAATTGAAATTTGAGGCCCGTCTACGGGATAGCTCTCGGTAGTAAATACATATTTCTCCGCGGATATAGTTTTTACATGTATCGTATTTGATATTTGTAATTTAAGATACTTGGAATTTTGTTTTTGAAGTCAAACTTAATTTATTTTCCTTATTTGTAGTTTCAGAATGTATACGTAGTGAAAAGAACAAACTTCATTTGTTTGTTTCACAGAAACTTATGTATGGAAAAAATAAAATCCACAACTTTCATGTCATATGGTGACTTTATTATATGAATTTCGCTAGTTCTAGCAAATGAAATATATTTGTCTCCGGCTCTTTTGCAATGGGAAGTTGTTCAATTATAATATGTTTTAACAAATTGAAATTAATTGTTGTTTTCTTTCACCGAAAACGAGATGATGTTTAAGTCTTACAACATAAGGTACAAAAAAAACCCCGATCGCTTTTAGTTTATAGCAGTCTTTTTTTAAGAAAACAAGCAAAAACAAACAAAAAGAAGAAACAACAACAACAACAAACAATTAGAATATGACATTAAAGCCGGCACAAAGAACAATATTATTGTAAATATAGGTATATTTTGCGAACCCTTCCAGCACGTTTTTCTCATGCACACGGCTGTAAACAATGACATCTATCAATGAGATGATAGAGAAACTGTCTGGATTTATATGACTTTAGCAGCACGTTTATAATTGAGCAATGATATATCCACCACTGGGCAAACATCTCTTCTGTATAAATAATGTATCACAAAATACATACACATATATAAAGGAAGAAATTATAAATATGTTTTCTTTTAGAACTATAAAAGTTGTGTGATTAAAGCTTATTCCAGCGACCTTTGATTTTACTAGCTGATACAAATGTCTTATAACTGGCTTTGGGTTTAATTAAAACATTTCTATATTGTTTATAAATAATACAATGTTGTCAAAACCTAACAGACACTGTATCACATATTTAATTATGTAGCAAAGAAATATTTAATTGTCTAAATTATAAATATCATATATCATATGATCGACCTAGTTGTTTGTGAAGTTATAATAATGAGATAAAAGTAAAACCAAATGTTTTGACTTACACAAATAGAATGAAACAGAATAAGAATTTTGGAGGTTTTTTCTTTCTTTCAGAAAATGGCCAAGATTTCTATCCGGGTTACCCCGGTCCAGGCTTTGGCGACTTCTTCCCCGGACAAGGACCAGAAATGCCCCCGGGGATGGCGCTTCTACCACCACAGGGACGGGGAACACCACCTTTAGTGATGGAACATCAAATGCATCCCGGAGGTAAGAAATTCACTTTAAATGACTAACTGTCATCATGATGTCTTGTTCTTATTTGTAATAATCATGGGTAAGGAATGGTTAAAAAAAGTTTTATCATCGAATAAAAAATGGCATTTGCGCAGAACACTTATTCGGTACAATGGAAACACCAATGATATGAAAACATTTACTTTAATAGTCGAGATGCTTTTCAAATCTTAGATTTTTTTTTGGATTTTTTCCGATAAAGCTACTTCTGCTATCAAATTGAACATTTCGTATTGTTGTTGCATAGCAACATTAATGATCTTAAAAAAATACTTTTTTTATTCGAGAAGAGCATATTTTGTTTAGGGCGGAGTTTTATTAAATTCCGAAATGAAAATTTATTTGAAATATGACTGTATCATTGGGATTCATAAAAAGATAAAAAAAAAAAGCGGAATGATTTTCAATTTTGATAATAACTCATATTAAATTAAAAATGTGAATCAAGTAGCATTCAATAAAGGAAAAAAAATCTTCATATTTTTTTATGTAAAAAATACATCATATTTCTCTGTGTTATTATCTTGGGAAATCAAATCACATTCTCATATCAAGAAAAGAATGAAAAGAAGTTAATGTGACATATGCACAGGCTAATTAATATACCTGCGCAGCTAGTGAATCATTAGTAGAAACAATAAAATAATCGAACAATGAAAAAAAACCCATATATTTATCGAGTATAAAGTAATAAGGGGTGTATATATATATATATGTCTGATGATAAGAATAATACCAAAATACCTGAATTGAAAAAAAATAATGTTTGTAAATTTCTAAGACACCAAACAGCTTATACTCTACCATTTTAATATAGCAATGGAATATTTTTAAAGGGATGTTTAATTTTGATTTTCTTGATATATAATTCATCTGTGTTAAATTACATAAACGCCCTTAGTTATTTAAAGTTCTTTTTTTTCTTTTCTTAAAAAGTAAACCACACTGGTATGAAACAACGTGACTGTACACTTTCATCTATACATGTATTTTCAGGTCATATGGGTCACGAAGGTCAGTACCTATCACCACAAGACATGATGCCACCATCGTCTCCAGAGCCTCTTATGCACCCGGATGAACAGTATTTAATGACGTCACTTCCGCCCAGATCATTGGCGCCTCAATTTCAGCCACACTCGAGTGAAAATTGGGGATAACACTTCAAAAAGATTTAGATACATTGTTATAGTCATCATTTCTATAATCCAAAATCTTATGAAGGCATTCAAGACATTTACTTAAAATATGGAGAATTTCTACACTTTGCTTGTCCAATGTTTGCTATTTTCGAAAAACATGTGTTGAATGTATTTATAAGTTGACATGTAAGCTGTGTAAATATGACGTATATTTATTTGTAAATACTAGTAGGTAATATAATCTCTACACAGAGATTCTCTTGAACCGGGATATCGGCAATATGACGTCAAAGATGTGACGTCACGTCAAAATTGACCACTGTTGAAAGTTTTACAATTACAAATTTGGAAAGTTACATCATTCGTTTTGGTAAGGGGAGGAAATATGTTACTTCCATCTTTTAAAGTTACTATTAGGAACTTGTTAATGTTGAAGTTAATTAAGAAAGAAGTAGGAAAATGTCACTATTTCAAGAATTCTAATCGTTTTGAATACACAGTTATCATATTATTATTTCTGTTTTATTGTCTTATGACTCGTTTATATAAAACGTAAACTGTATTCTTTTGCCAATGTTGATATCATACTTTTTATCATAGTTCAAGACAATGAAATGAAAAAATACTGAACACGCTTACTTATCATGAAATGTTTGAAACTATCATTTTCAATTTTTCTTCTCAAATGTTCTATTTAACTTGACTAAATATGAGATTTGTCTGCCTAAACTTGTGATATTTCACTAACTTATACTTAAGGCTTTTAAAAATGGTCAATTTCAACATGGCGATGATCACATATATTAAGTGATTTACTATGAAAGTTCAAAAAGTTACAAACAAAAACAAAACATTCTCCGAGAAGATCATCTGTTTATATTTATCGTTGTATTCTTATAAAACCTTGCGTTTAGATAATGTTTTCTTTACTTTGAGACAGTTAACATATAATTGTTTATTTTTTCATATTCATTTATCATAGGTAGGAATTATCCATCAATATTTTTGACAATATCACAATATGTAGGTATATTTCTAATGGCATTTGGTTTCTTTTATTTTTAAGGAATCATCGATGAATAATGACACCATAGGAGATTCTAACAAATGCTGAATTGTATTTACTGTGTAAATACTATACTAAATAAGCATAGTATTTTATATAAGACAAAATCTGGCGGTTATACATTTACACACCTTTAATTGAAAAATTTATATTTTGATTGATTTATATATATGCACAACCTCAGCCTGAAAATACACCGGCGGTCAGTGCTTTCTAATCATGGTATCCATTGTTCACTTCATGTATTCAGTCAGTACTTATTTTAAAAAGTTCCTTAAAATGATGAATGGTTTGGTCGAGATTGAAAGATGGACAAGTCCACTTATGATATTTAGCTTGGTTAGGGTGAATGAATCAAAATATTAGCGATGTTATTTATGTAGTTTCACTGCCAATATTATGTTTTAAGTCCATTCCACAAGTTTAAAATAAATCAGGGATTTTCATGCAGATATTTATGTTAACATGTTCGTGTATTTATGTCCACATTTTTTTGTATATTTAATTGTTATTTAATGTGTTTAAATAGTTATCTTTTAATGTTGTATTAAAAATGATAAGTGGAAAATGTGCTATATAATTCTAATTAACTAAATTAAAAAGACTAAATGTAGCTGATTTCTTTTGAAATATTTGATAATCTTGTTATAAGGTTATTTTGAGGTTGGTATGAGTTTATTTTGAGGTAATAAAGCTAGGTAACGGTTACTATAATTTTACATTAAACAGAAACTTTGTAATATTAATATACATTTATATAAAGTACTTAAGGAAGTCCTCTTTTGCATAGTTTACTTTGGGTAAATAAACTTTAAAGAATATTTTCACCACCGTGCAATTCTTGTCCATGGAACTCTTTATTGACAACCGCCTCAAGCCGCCGGCCACTAAATGCCACACCGACCATCTGAAAAGAAATAAAAATTACCATTTATATCAAAGAATCAACAAACAGTGTCTGAAAGATGATTTTCTGAACATAATTAGCCAGGACAACTATGCAAAACACCCAAGTTCAAAGATTTCACTATTATAAAGTCCAAAAATTTAAACCATATCTCTAAATAGTAAATAGTGCTAGTTTTCAACAATAATTTAGAAAAATAACTTTTAAATATTTCCATAGGCATATGTTTATTAAAATGTTTTGATCAATTTATAAACAATTGTATTATTTTACACATTTCCAACTGGTGTGGTTTCCTTTTGCTGTCGTTTTCTGTTATCAAATTTATTGAGAAAAAAAACGTTATAATTTACAGATCTCATAAATTAGGAAAGCATTAATTAATAATTTTATAAATATGAAAAGAAAGAGAAAATAAACCTTTTCATATATGAAAAGAAAAAATGTTTATATGAATATTGATTTTATATAAAACATTTCATTTAGTGGGTTAAACATTCTTGGAAATATGATTACAGTAACGGAAAATTGATCATGATATTTCTGATGCTAATCATCATCATACTTTGTTTTATCGGTTTAACTTTAAACAACTGCATGCTGCCAAAGATGGTCAAAATGTAAATTTTGGTGGCACTGAGCATGTTCATGTACAACAACGGCTAATATTAGCATCAGACCAAGGTTAACACCTGATTTCTTTAATTAACAATAACTTGTAGACAATCTTTGCCAACACTTGGTTTTCTCAAGTTGTCCTGTAAGGCTGGGCGTTTTTGTCGTGGCTCTCGTGTTGATATTTGTTTTGAAACAAATTAGCTGAGAAAATAATGTAAATTTTGAAATGGGCTATACTACTGTACTGCATTATTTAAAACTAAACTTGAATAAAAAATCATACCTCTTGTTACTTTTTGCCAGTAAAATACTCGTATTATTCTCAAAGTTGTATTTAGATTTTACAAGTGTTCCTTTCATGTACGTTATGAAATCATTACCGAAACAGGTATAACCAAAAACTAGACCTTTTACGTAAGGTCATGTACCAGAATTTCAGAAATATCCTCTTTTCAAAGACTTGTCCTTGCTTATATGCGATAAAATATTCTGACAGATATTGGTTTATGTTCAAGTCATCTGATATACATTTATGGAGAGCATTACATCTCAATACAGTTAAACAAAACCAAAAAATTAAAAACTCGAAAACATGAAGAAATTATTTTGTGAAAATTTTAGTAAACATGTATTTATAAATGTTTTTGTTTTAATGAATGTTCAACCTTGTATGTTAATCTTGACATTATGTTGATATGGTGAAGAAATGAATATAAAATTTAAAACCAAATTTGTTGTACTTGTTTATTTTTAAAAGCAAACATTCACAGTACATCAAAACAGTTTATAGCGCCAATATATGTGTAAGGAGTAAGGGGTGAGGCCTTAAGACAACAAGGTAGACAAGTTGTTTTAACAGTAAAAGAATCTGGAAAAGTGATTGATCACTCAGAAGCAGTGAAAAACAACAATGTTATATTAAAATTTACGACTTTGCTCGTAAGATAAAATGTAAAAGTGCAACATCTCCCAAGCCCCCTAGCACCGGCTTAAACGGTGTATTCAGTCTGAAACACTTATATGATGGAATCAATGATCCCGTCGAGTGAGTTACACTCACAAACACGAGGGTACTTAACATGTGAAACATTATAAAAGGCAGAGAAAATGTAACAGAATGTCCGTATCTAATTTATTATAACCAATGTTAAATGGTCAAATAAATGTATAGCGATACACAAGTCAAAGGTCATAGAACTTGGAACAATAAAACGATTGAACAGGAACAGAAACTATAAAACTTAAGCTTCACCGCATTGGAACTATAAACAAATAAAAACGGTACTCAGTGGGGCGCCAAAAATATTGTGTCCACACACAAAACACAATGACAACACTTACAGAGAAAGGTAAATGGAACGAGGGCGTGCCATGCAAGTACGGGTATGTGCACACAATATTAATAATCTCCAATCATATAATTTTCAACACAAGAAGAAAGACCAATGTTTGTTAAAAGTAACGATTAAGTTGATACACAAAAACACACGTTAATCTTCCATCATTGAGTTTGTCTGCACAACTTACTAGTACCTTATACAAAATAAATAAATACAGCATATTTTAAACAATGAGCAATAGTGAAACATTAAAATAACAAATAAACTAAGAAGATCAATGTCGTTGGATGACATAATGAAAGGGAAACCTACTGGTCGCCTTCACGGAAAAATAATTCAGAATTGGTTTAACAGAGCGTGTTCCTGTCCATCTGTGATGGATGCAAACTCTCGTCCACACCCGTACGCACCGGCTCAAGCAAAGCCCAACACTTGTGTTTAAACAATGTTTTATTTCTATCTTACATATACATTTACACATAATGTAAAACATTCATACACATAAAATGTTCGAGAGCTGTTTCAGAAATTCTCTCTAACAAATAATAATGACAATGGTGTGATTGGGTTTAGTAAAATTAGATCACCTTAGAATTATCAAATGCAATGAGCCAAAGAACAGGATAATAAACTACAGAGCCCGGTTGATGTTTCAGATAGGTAAATAAGCAAACCCCCATTTTGAACAGTAAGGTCATAACATGACACCTTAAAAGAAAAGAGGGAAGACATAGGGATTACTGCCTTTCTATTTGTCCTGTCTTTTTAACTTTAAAAGGTGGGCAAATTTATTATAGTGCATAAACTTATATCCCTGCTGCTTGGAGCTTACACTTTTTTATTAGAATTTTCATAAAGAATAATTCCAAAATGCCTGTATGAAAGAATTCCTTTTGATGTATCTCCCAAACAGAGATTGGCGCATGAACAAAGTGATTGCTGAACGGTCAAAGCAATACTTCAAATAGTAGCATAATATTTTGTTCCGGAATATTTTATTCTGTTTTCGAAAATAACAGAGACATTCTATGTTATAGCTCTTTCGAGAATCGGGCATAAGATTATGGAAGCAATATTATTTCACTGTAAAAAAACTTTTTACAACAAATATTTCATTAGATATAGCTTTATATCCTTTCAGATTCGTGCGTTAGTATTTGCTGGAATCCATTCACGTGATAGTCCCTATTACACCAAATTATATTGTATTCACATGCACAGAATAAAACAAAATAAAAAGTTAAATGGGACACTAAAATATACTACAACAACTTACTAAGGACCTGAATAGAGGATGTTCTTTAAACAGCGGGTGACAAAATATCGAGACAAAGAGCTTCAAAACAGATAGTTATAAATGAAAAGACTGAAAAGTTCGAGGGAAGCAATTACTACTGATTTTTTAGCTCTTTTTTTCCGTATTCCGTTTTACTTTTCATCAAATGACACCAGTTTTGAAAATAATGTATAGAACTTGAATAACTATCAATAAGGACACGAACATTGAATAGTGAGTAATAAGTACATGTAATACAACTAAAAAGCAACAATAAGGAATTCATACGACCAATGGTAAACATATATAAGTGCTAACAATAAAGAACCCCATAAGTACAAGTAAAGCACATCGAAAACAATATCTTAGGTATAATTCAACATGATTAGAGCCATATCCTATTATACTTTTTCACATCACCCTAAATAAGAGTGAGATGAAAGTGCTATTACTTGAATTCATTTTTGGGTATTGCGAAATGGCTAATGTATATTTATAAGCAAAATCCGATTTTATATAAGTCGCATTGCCTTATAGCAAAAATGGTTTCCAATTAGAATGCGTCACTAAAATCGACTTATTATGTATACAACATACTAACAGTTGATTCTTCTTCTACACCACGTTGTTCACAAAATGTACAAAACAACCGTGACCTCTGAAAAAAATGTAATAACTAACTAGCTATTGTAACTTATTTTTTCTTTTGTTTTTGGCAACGCTATTTCGAATTCGGGGGAACCTTTTGATATCACAGAATGATTTAGATTCGCGAAACTAACAAACTTGTTCCAATCTGTCAGCTATGGTTCCTGCTCATGGCATCTAATTCCGTTATCTGCCTAACTCAGGCGTTCTTATTGATCAAATAGACCCACTTCATTATATTTCGTTAATAACTTTTAGATTGGGTGTCACGATCAGTCTACAAGAACGCTTCACACGGAATGCTTCGGACATATTCGGAGACAGAAGGGGGAGATTCTGTCCTTAGATTTTGTCGTCTGCAAGGAATGGAATTTTCTTTTGCCTTCTTTTTTCTCTTGTTATTTTCAAAGGAAAAGATTCGTAAGAGGAAAATGACTTCGGTATCATGTTGTTGTCTTTCACCAAACTATAAGGTATGATTATAAAACAAATGCAAGAAAATACTATATCTATTTATAATATAATCTACTAGTGACAAATTGTTGTTTAAACACAACAATAAAGTTGTTTAAAAGTCTTTATGAATTGTTGTTGCTTCAGCGTCATAATTAAATATCAATTTATATACATAAATTTTGTACATTTGTATTGCGATAATAAGACAGAATGTGTCTTAACATATGTTATTAAGTCTATTTTATATTTTCAAAACTACTGTTTACCTTTTTCTGAAGAAAAGTAGAATGTGACAATTCTTACCCGGCTAGCAGTACAAACATATATGTACATATTACACAACAAATAAATTACTGAGAGCTTGATTAACTAATTATATAATTATCTACAAAATGTACAGCGCACAACAATATAAAGTCC